ACTAAATACATACTATATAATATGTATACGGGTAAATGAAAGTATATGGGTATGTCTATCAGAAGGTTTGTATTTTATGCATTACTTCACCTTTCATCCGATTATCATGAAACTTTGGAAAGTTAATAAGAATATTCCTGGAAAGGTTTGTGTTGAAAAAAAAAAGTTAAATATTGGTGGGGTGACTTGGCGCTCAGGGTTCCACAGCGTCTGTCTTTACCCCATGGGTCTGTAGATTGGACGTCTTGCACGGGGACGGGCAGAGGTACGACCCCAGGGTCAGGTGGCACGGATCAACTTGGGTTTCCAATATAGAGTGTAGGGTCATTTGTGGAGTGTAGGGTTATTTGTGAAGTGTAGGGTCATTTGTGGAGTGTAGGGTTATTTGTGAAGTGTAGGGTCATTTGTGGAGTGTAGGGTTATTTGTGAAGTGTAGGGTCATTTGTGGAGTGTAGGGTTATTTGTGAAGTGTAGGGTCATTTGTGGAGTGTACGGTCATTTGTGGAGTGAAGGGTCATTTGTGGAGTGTATGTTCATTTGTGGAGTGTGAGGTCATTTGTGGAGTGTATGTTCATTTGTGGAGTGTATGTTCATTTGTGGAGTGTAGGGTCACTTCTGGAGTGTATGTTCATTTGTGGAGTGTGAGGTCATTTGTGGAGTGTATGTTCATTTGTGGAGTGTGAGGTCATTTGTGGAGTGTATGTTCATTTGTGGAGTGTACGGTCATTTGTGGAGTGAAGGGTCATTTGTGGAGTGTATGTTCATTTGTGGAGTGTGAGGTCATTTGTGGAGTGTATGTTCATTTGTGGAGTGTATGTTCATTTGTGGAGTGTAGGGTCACTTCTGGAGTGTAGGGTCATTTGTCGGGTGTAAGGGTAAAGCTTAGGACTTATTATTGTGATTAGGCTACGATTATTTTTTACACCATATTTAAGAGTGACGCTCCCATACTACACATTGAATGTTCTCAGACCTTACATCTCCTTCATCATTAAATCTGTTTCAAGCAACCAAAACATTGTGTCTTTCTTCTGTTAAACCCCAAATACATACTTTTTAAGTCGTGTATCCTAGCCACCTGAGTGAGCTTAATTAATCATTCATGTATTTCAGATAAACCCTCCTCATTTATTATTTGTTTGTTTCCAATTTTTTTACGTCAGATGTCAACCTCCGAATTTATCATTTTAAGCATATTTTCTAGATATACTTTAGATGTCACCTTCCTAATTCATCCTTCTATAGTTGAGTTTCCAAGCGTTGAATTTTAAGTGTCACCCTCCTCCAACTATTCCATAATCAAGTACTCAGGTCTCCAAGTACTCAGGTCTCCAAGTACTCAGGTCTCCAAGTACTCAGGTCTCCAAGTACTCAGGTCTTCATGTACTCAGGTCTCGAAGTAATCAGGTCTCCAAGTACTCAGGTCGCCAAGTACTCAGGTCTCGAAGTAATCAGGTCTCCAAGTACTCAGGTCTCCAAGTACTCAGGTCTCCAAGTACTCAGGTCTCGAAGTACTCAGGTCTCGAAGTAATCAGGTCTCCAAGTACTCAGGTCGCCAAGTACTCAGGTCTCGAAGTAATCAGGTCTCCAAGTACTCAGGTCGCCAAGTACTCAGGTCTCGAAGTAATCAGGTCTCCAAGTACTCAGGTCTCCAAGTACTCAGGTCTCCAAGTACTCAGGTCTCGAAGTACTCAGGTCTCCAAGTACTCAACTCAGTCTCCAAGTACTCTGGTATCCCAGTACTCCAAGTACTCAGGTCTCCGTGTTTGTTTCACCATGTTTAAACCTGATTTTGATTAACTACATACAGATAAAAACCAAGACTAGTAAAGATATCAATAAGAAAGAGAGCAATGATACAGAAAGTACTTACAAAGACAGCAGTGATAACGACAGCGATGATAATGAAAACGACGATATAATTTATGCTAGTTAAAAAAACAATAATGAAGATTAGCCATTTGTTTTGTGTCATTTATTTTTTTAAACGAATTTAGGGAATAAAATGCTGATCTTGTGATATTTGCAAAATGACATACAAACATACATGCTCGTGCACACATACATAACCCAAAATGGCTTACATATAAAAGAACCAACATACAGGTAACCCAAAAGTAACATACAAATGTGTCATAAAAACACACATACATACAATATTCTTATGAATGCACAAGTAGACAAATATGTGTCATCACTAAGTCATTCATCAAATTCACAGATCAAATAAATGTCATCGTCATGACATATCAAATAGATGACATTAATGATACCAAATCAGCGAAGTAGAACGTACACTAATATACATTTTTATCCTTACAGATAAATTGTGTGGGTTGATAATGACATTTAAAAGAAAATGTATTGTCTCATTATTTCTGTCAATTTGTTCAAATAAAGTAAAATAAATATGTTACACATTTGTTACATTGAGCACATGTGTAATTTTTTTTTAAACTGCGCCTAATGAACCGCTAGAAAACTATATGGATTATCTGTCTTTACAAGGGACATAACTCTCTTATTGAACTATGTAAACACACCGCAGTGGTCGTCCATTAATGACGTCACGTTCACTTTGGGAGAGGGGGTGTGAAATTATAAAACTACGAGCCGGCCCGCGGCATAACATACGCCGCTATTTAGTTGTTGTTTTTCTACTTTTCAGTTATTCATAATTTGTGAATTCGACAGTACCAACGCTGCCACTGAAAATATTTCTTTAAAACACTTTAAGTAGCTCGTTAAGGACCATAACCCCCACCTTCCTCCCCCCCCCCCCCCCCTCTACCTTTAAAATCGTTGGCTCTGCTTGTAAACATTTAGAGTGAACACAGCTCACTAAAACCATGTAGGGGTGGGGAGGTAGGGAGCGCGTTTACAGCTTGTTTTCTAGGCGAGTTTGCAGCTTGTTTTCTAGCGGCTCCCAGAAGAGAATTATATATATAGATTTTAAATTAATGTTCGCAGTGATTTCGGATTTTCTAAAGACTTTTTATGCGATTTGTAAAATGTAACAAATATCAATACTGTCTCAATTTTTCATTTTTTAGGGTGTTTGTGTGTGTGTTATTACAATATATAATGCTAAAGGTTAAGTAAAAATGTGATTTTTAAATCTTGACATCATTTATGGACGATCCCTAAGAAAGATTCAAGCATTCAAATATAATTATTTTTTTTAAACTATTGATCCAATCTATTTATGAACCATTGCTTGACATGACGACACTCTTCCTATAAGTTCGACTAGAGACTGTGTACAAGAGACGTGTACCACTACGTGCTTATTGCACGAATAAAACTAAATATTCATAGCAATGAACCGTCTGTACAATTGTTAAAATATTCTAGTGCATAAGGATATTTTAATCTGGACAACTTTACTGTTATAAATAAAACTATTAAAGGGCGACAACCTGAGTTTTAATTATCCTGACGGGGTTACTGTTTCTTTTATCCCATTACTTTTTGAAGACAAACTTTTCATAAAAATTATCTATTTATAAGCTTTTTATGTACGAACATCATATAGATTCGGTATATATTATGAACATGAAATTAAGAAATAAAGATGTTTCACTCTTAAATGACAATATCAGCAGCAGACCTATCATGAAGGTCACCAGGTCAATTAATCATCTAATTACTGACCACGACATAAAAAATATCTCCCTATAGTTTTAGGAATTCTCAGTCCTCTAAACGAAAATAATCGTTCCTCTGTTAAAACGTACCTCTCAAAACATGTAAACATTTATCTTAGTCCAAACACAAGACTTCAAAAATCAGTCTATTAATGTAAACAAAAGTAAACTATAAAAGTGTAAAGAAAAATAAATCTCCACTTTGAAATCAAATCTAACATTTCAAAATCAGTCAACATGATTCTATTTTCATATTAATATTTTATTGTTAATTTATTAAACACATAAACAATTGTTAAAAATTTTCCAAATATGTGACAATTTCTATACAATTATACCACATAATATATTCAATTTCACATTCAAACGAGGGGTTGATCTTTCAAAAGAGGGATTGATTAGTGGAATTTATAACCCATTCCTCATCACATCAATAAAAAAAACAAGCGTACTTCTTCCCTCACAAAAAAAAGTTTTAAAATTTCAAGAAACAAAAAACAAAGGTATGGCGATCAAATTAGTTTTAAACTTAACCCACATAAAAAACATAAATTTTAACTTGAGGAAAGAAAATGGCATTTAACAAAATAATAATTACAATAACATATAGATATCTACAATCTTATGTATCGTGGTTTATTTTTATACATCCAGCTTTCAAATAAAGATAAAACTAAAAAAAAAAACGCAAAATTGGCAAGATTTTAAAGATTATACTGATCTAATAAATAAACCACATTTATTTATATTTGAGTAATTAGGTTTGTGGGAGGGGGACGAATTATTTACATTTGTTTTAAAAATAAATCTGTCAAATTTGTAACATCACAACACATTCAGCAAGCTAAGGAAATCTTTCTTGTTTAGACTATCAAACAAAGGAAATCTTTCTTGTTTAGACTATCTAACAAAGGAAATCTTTCTTGTTTAGACTATCAAACAAAGGAAATCTTTCTTGTTTAGACTATCAAACAAAGGAAATATTTCTTGTTTAGACTATCAAACACAGGAAATATTTTTTGTTTAGACTATCTAACAAAGGAAATATTTCTTGTTTAGACTATCAAACAAAGGAAATCTTTCTTTTTTAGACTATCAAACAAAAGAAATCTTTCTTGTTTAGACTATCAAACAAAGGAAAACTTTCTTGTTTAGACTATCAAACAAAGGAAATCTTTCTTGTTTAGACTATCAAACTCTATCTCTATAAATAGATAGATAGATAGATAGATAGAGACTATCAAACAAAGGAAATCTGACTTTTCTAAACAATTAAACAGCAGAAATCTTTCTTAATTAAACAATGGAAATCTTTCTTGTCTAAGCATTTGAACAAATAAAATCTTTCTGGTCTAAGCATTTGAACAAATAAAATCTTTCTGGTCTAATCAATTAAACAAAGAAAAATATCTAAACACTTATTAAACAAAGGCAACATTTAAACCCTAATGTCATCATGTACATCCATTCTATTAGTCTGACTCACTGTGATCAAAACAAGATATCATCTCTCTACATTGATGAGAAATGTGTACAATTACCTGTACAATTTGTTTTAACTTTAATTACTATAAATCGTATACTTCAGACTTACATTAATTATTATCGATACTAAACTGATAAATTATGTTATTTACGAGTATCAATTTACATGCTTTTTTTAAATCAGTGTTATCACTGAAGAAAACTTGTAATATATTTTAGTTTAACAAAGTAAAACTAGAAAATCTTAAATTTTATAATTTGATTTTTTTTTCAATATTTTATATAAAAAGGATACCAATTTAATGTTGCTTTTAAAATTGTTATCTATTAACAATTACACATCGTATCCAATTGTAACAATTCAAAGAGAAAAAAAAACAATTGAAACCTAAACTGCCTTGTGCGCATGCGTGCAGTCATCACGAAATTAGCTTTAATTCGTGACGTTTCTGCGATTAGGTTTTGACATCCCATCCTGGGTCTTCAGGGGCGGGGTAGGGCTGGGTTCCAGAAGGTTCCACCACCACATCGTGACGTATAACCTTTCAACAAAATTAACCGACGCAGTTCATTGATTTTTTTTTTCGACGCAGCCATTTTTTTTTAAATGGACTAACGACAGCGCCCTCTGCTGGTTCATCAGTGACGTCAGCCGTCTTGTAGCAGGGACGCCAGAGTTATCGGTTTTTAGACTAGAGTTAATTTCAGGAGCAAAAATATACTTTTTTTTTACTAATACATGTACTGTTAGATAAATTTAGCTACGGGGAAATTGAAACCAATCAAGGACAAATGCAGTAAAACTGAAATATCCACCAAATTGCACAAAGAAATGTCTCAATTTCACCGCCATATCTGTGTATGAAATTGAACATGATCCGTCTATTGTACATTGCACAAACTTTGTTGGGTAAGATTTAAATATAACTGAGCCGAATATGTGACTATGTGTCTTTATAGAAGGAAAACATGGAACATATTAAAACGGGTATAATCCTTGTAGAATACCACCACATATATTAAATATAAACTGTCGTATTTGCGGGATTAATTGTTTTGGGATTTCATTTTTTTTAAAGAAATCCCTCACATAATTGGATGTTTAGGGGGGAAAAAATTGTCAAAAGAAAACAAAGTGACGTCATTTTCTTTTTCTCTCTCCACCACAAATCACACGGGCTATGCACAGCAAGGGGCAGATAAATTGTCACAACCATCAAAATTTAGAGTTATCGTTCTTGGATAAAAGTTTGTTTATTTTATATCCGGGTAACGATTTAGATTTTGTTTCCCAACACTTCACAAATTCATCTACGCACTCTTCATCGTCTGTTCCTCCTGACGATTCACTCCCGCCTGTTCTCATCCTTATCTGTTTTTATCTTCCCGTCGACGCTGCCCATGTGCTGCCCGTTGGGTGCCTGACCAGGGGGCACCTGTGCCCCGCCGGTGTACGTTTTGTCAATGATCTTGAGCGACTCGTTGAGGTAGTTCATGGCACAGTTGAGCGAGGCCACGACGGCGGGCTGGCCGAAGCCGTGGGTGAGCAGGGAGAAGTGGGTCAGGTGTCTCTGCATGCCGGGCTCCAGGACAGGGGTGGGCCGGGTGTTGTTCAGGGGTGACCTGTCCTGCATGATGACGTCAATGAACTCCTTCAATATTTGTCTGCAAGGGGAGACAACAATATTTATGAGATGTATACTTTTATAAAATATATCTATATCTAAATTTATTTATAAATGATTTGTTTGTAAGCGACATAGCTATACATTTGTGTTTATAAAATTACATACTTAAAAATAATATATTTATTCATATTTGTATAAAACAGGAATATTTACACTTCTATAAGAAGCTGATGTGAAAACTGTAACACTAAAGCGAACATGCAAGCAAAATGACGCTGTAAATTACATGTCTGAGATGAAAAAAAAATGCAAGAATTTCGCCATGCATAAAATGAATAGACTAGAATGATGGGTATATTTTTCTCATGAACTAAAATAAACTATTGTCTTGTAATCCTGTGAAGTATTTTATTCTTTAATCCCTTAAATAAAATTGCAAATTGTAAATTATACGGTGTTGTGTTTTTCAACGTAGACTTAGAGAACTTAACTACATCAAATTAACATTAATTTAATTGATTAGCATTTGACAGCTGAACTATGAGAATTTTTAAATATTTTTTATATTATTTTTTTCTCGACACATTTTTTATTCAAGTTAAGCTTCAGCGTTGTAAACGGATACCCTCAAATTGGGTGTCAATTTTATTTCATCTTTTAATTAAATTTTCATGTGCTTTTATTTTCAATGCTCAAAAAAATCGATTAAAAAGTAAGCCCAATGGGGGGATGGGGGGGGTGGGGGATTTGTTAGTATCGATGACGGGGGGGGGGTGAGTGTGTTTATCACAGGGACTTGGGCGCAATTTTTACAGGCTGTCGTCTGGGGATTTAGACTCAAGAGGCGAGCAGACGGACAACTCACTTGGAGGCCAGTAGCATGTTCTTCCGGTTGTGGTAGTCTCCTGGGTCGACGTGCCTCGTGTTGTACTCGGCGATCTGGCGGGAGGGGAACTCTGTCTCGCACAAGTACGAGTAGTCCCTGGCTAGTCGGATTGTCTCCCCTGAAAGAAAATAAAGAATTTTTTTAAAAAGTTGTGATCAAAGAATTTTGTTTTATTATTTTCAGACCTCCGACTCGGGTTCAGGCTCCGGTATAAAACGAATACACTTGTCCAATTTCCGGAGCTCTAAACAGACCTTGTTTGGTGTTTTGTTTTGTCCCTGTGTTCTAACGTCACAGTTTCCAATCGACTCTCGACTAACTCCGTCTCCACACTCCTGCCCTTTATCAGAATCTAACCCCCACCCACCACCACCACCACCCACCCCCCACCCACCACTACCACCACCACCCCCCACCCACTACCACCCCCACCACAACCACCACTCCACCACCACCCACTACCACCCCCACCACAACCACCACTCCACCACCACCCACCACCACCACCCCCACCCACCATCCCCACACCTTGCAATTGAATGTACATTCACGACCTCGCGCGTGCTGATGACGAGGTGCGCAGATTGCTCACAACCTAGTTGGGCTGTTACACGCTCTGCCTCACCTCTCATCAAGATGCGCCGATCACGAAACACAAGGGGCGGCGGCGAATGTTGTTGTTTTTTCAATGTAAAATACCGCCATCTACAGGAACCACTGAACCGTGGAGACGAGTTTTTAATTATTTTTTTTTTACATTAACCCCGTATTGAAGCCAGAGAGTGGCTTCAGAAACACCGGCGCTAATGACACCGTTTATCTTTAAATTGTCGCCCCTTGTTTTTACAAGATAGAAAAAAATTCAAATTTAATTTAACTCTGTTTTTCATTGAAATATAACCATGTAACCGCACTTGTCCCCCTTACTTCCCTCCTCCAACTTTACTGTGTCGTGGTCTTCTCCCCCCCCCCCCCCCCCCAATGGATTTATACCACCAGAACCACTGCACGGTTCAGCAACCACATCCATCCGTGATGTTTGTAACACAACGACATCAACAAAGAAACAATGAGGGGAACGCTACGAGCATGTAAGGGGACGGAACTCTAGAACAGTGCAGCCATTAATAAAAATAGGGGAGTGAAACACGACTTTAAGTGCAGTGGTTTTACTTGTCCTCTTTCTTATTTCTGTTTTGTTGGTTGGTTGGGAAGGGGGGGGGGGATTTACTCTCATCGAAAAAAATAAACCTGTACAGCAATTGTTTATTTGTTTACGTGAATATTTTTAACAACAAAATCTAGGCTGGGCTACCGATTGTTGTCAACACAGTATTGGGTACTGTGCCTAATTTGGGTTGAGGCAACTACTTTAACACCCTTGGTTACTGCACAGGGTGTCACCCTTGGTTACTGCATAGGGTGTCACCCTTGGTTACTGCACAAGGTGTCACCCTAGGTTACTGCACAGGGTGACACCATAGGTTACTGCACAGGGTGACACCATAGGTTACTGCCCAGGGTGACACCATAGGTTACTGCACAAGGTGACACCATAGGTTACTGCACAAGGTGACACCATAGGTTACTGCACAGGGTGTCACTCTAGGTTACTGCACAGGGTGTCACCATATGTTACTGCACAGGGTGACAAACTAGGATACTGCACAGGGTGACACCATAGGATACTGCACAGGGTACACTTGCATACACACATACTGTAATCCATACATTATGATATACACGTAAGCTTCCATACACACACATAATGATACATACACTAGCCTACACATACTCATAAATACACTAGCATACACACATACTCATATATACACAAACACACACACACATACTCACACATACACTGTTACACACACCATACACACACTGTTACACACACTGTTACACACACCTTACACACACCATACACACACTGCTACACACACCATACACACACTGCTACACACACTGGTACACACACCATACACACACACTCTCACCCACGCACTCACAGACACCAGGACCGCTCACCTTCCACAAGTGACGTCAGCAGGGTCACGTTGGCCGCTTTCCTCCTGCCCGCTGGTAGACTCAGTCCTATCTTCTCCAGTTTGTCCCTCAGTGACCGCCCTCCGTTCTTGGACTTGGCTCTGTGGGTGGAATGGAGGGCTTGGGTTAGATGGGCTTGGGCTTAGTGGTCTTTGTTGGATTAGCCTTTGTTATGTTGGGATTTGTGGGCTTGGCAATTGGATTTTTAAACTTGGTCATGTATGGTTGTTGTTTTTTTTTCCCTTTTTACTTTCTCGTATATACGTAGTATAGAGAAAGTATTGTAATCGTGCAAAAAAAAAAATCGAGATTTTTACAAATCTCGACGTTTTACACCTCACTGATACGGAAAAACATAATTTTGCAATCTTGTCCGTATGTCTGTGTGTGTGTGTGTCTGTGTGTGTGTCTGTCCGTGTGTAAACACGATAACTTGAGTACCGTTACAGCTAGGTTGATGAAATTTCATATATAAGTATTTAATCAAAATCGTAGATCCGTATCAACTTTTGAGCGATTTCCGATAACCGGAAGTGGTACTTTTCCTACTTTGAATTTTTTAAAAGCCTATAACTTGAGTACTATTTCAGATAGATAAATGAAATTTCACATGTAAGTAAAAGATCTAATTCTCTACCTTCTGTTAAATTTTGAGTAATTTCCGTTGACTGGAAGTAGTAATTTACGCTACTTCCGATTTCTCAAAAAACTAATGTAAATTTTAAAAGTACTAATAATATTGCGCACTATTATGCGCTTTTTTTATTTGCGTTCACTTGGTGTGCAATTAATTTGTCTACGAGATTTTATTCTATTTTTAAAACTTTAAGTATTTAAAATGGATTAAAAATCATGTCTATAACCCGAGTTTCCATCCCCTGTTATTTTATATAAGAATATTCGAGAAAGTTTAGGGGAGATCACTCCCGGTTTATTTTTTTGTGTTGTTGTTTTTTTTTTTTGTTTTTTTTTTTGTTTTTTTTTTGGGGGGGGAGGGGAATTGGTCATAATTTGGGAAGGGTAGCCTTGTGATAAATTGTGGGCTTACTTATTAGTTGAGTTAAATGAGTGGGTTATCTAGCATGGGCTTATTTTTGTGGGCTCGGGTATAGGTTTTGGCTAGGCGGGCTTGATATAGATTGGCTTGGTTAGGTTAAGGTTAGGTTTACTACATGGCAGGTTAAGTAGGAGGTCGGGGGATAGAGCTTATACATTTGTATCTAGATTCTAGATGATAGAAGAATTAAACTGGATGAGATTTAAGTTTAACACGACCGTTCGATTTTTTTAAAGTCGTAATTGACAGGTTAATTAGGGTTAGTAATTGATAAAAATAGCCAACCATTGTACCAGTTTTTTTTTAATGGTACATTTGTCATTAATTATTAGGTTAATGGCTGGCTAAATCCAAACAAATATTTTTGCGTTTCGGTAAAAAGTTGTCAGAACACATTATGGTTTGAGTAAAAGAGGTGGAGGAGAGGGGGAGTGGACAGAAAGGGGGAACAGTGGATGAAAAGGAGGTGGGGGGGGGTCAGTGGGTTGGATATAAAGGGGGGGGGGGGGTGTCTCGTTTAAGTAAAAATGTGAAGGAATAGAAAAATCTGCACTAATTGATATGTGAGATTGTGGAGAGGATCATTTCCATATCCCTGGAGCCGGGATAAACATTCACAGATAGCTGTCGATTAAGACGGGTAATTAACCGAGAGGGGGCGTGGCGCGTGAGTGGGGGGGGGGGGGGAGCTGGGGCTCCACGGAGGAACAAAAAGACCAGGGGGGACGGGGTGGAGAGAGTGAAAATATAATTGAACTAAATGATCGTGTCCAAGTTAGACCATGCATGAAATGATCTCTCTCCACGCGCTCCCGTCCACGGGGGACGCTCGACTTGTCTTTGGTGGGGGTGGGGGGAGGGGGGGGGGGGTAAAGGACTCACCATTAGCTGAACAAGGGTTGGGTGGGGAAGGGTGAGGATATAATAATAGTTTGAGCGGTAGGGGGATAAACGTCTTATTGTTAGATTTAATAATTGATTGCAAACAGTTTAGAAAAATTTTATTAAAAAATTAAATAAAATATATTTAAGAGAAATATTTGAATGTTTAACCTTAAACTAAAAACTAAATAAAATGTTGAAAAAAAATTTTTTTTAAGCAAATTTTATTTAATATCGAAATTTTGTTGGTATAAAGTGTGTGCTGTTTGCTGGTTTATAATTTTATTTTAAAGATGTACTTAAGAAAACTGAAGAACCTTTTGCAGAATAAACAAAAACCATTTACAGTGAGCTCTCATCAGCGGCTCACCCTCCGCCATTTTGGATCTCACCATCTCTTCAGACCCCCCCCCTCCCCCCCAAAAAAAATCGGTAGTTCACCGGTCCGAATGTGGTCATTAGCCAAGAAAATTGGCACCTCCCTAATTTTGTTAAGCCGGCCGAAGCTGTGTCCAGTCGTGCTCGACATACTAAAAGGGGTCCGAGTCCACACGCGCAGTGAGTACTCACCCACCCCCCCCCCTCCCTCCCCACCCCCCGAGGGCTATTCCTGGGGATTAAACCCACTCCGTGTCAGAGTGGATCGAATCTGCATAATGTCTCACTTGAGCCGAGAAAAGCATCTGCTGCGCCCTCCCTTACCCCCTCCTCCGGCCGTCGTGTCGGTCACCGTCGTCGTGTCGGTCGCAGAGGGTACGGTCAGAGCCGGCAAGTGATCAGCGGACTGAGGGGGGCCAAGCGGCTAAGCTTAGCCGGCTAATTACTCTCTGTGGCCGGTAATCCAAAGACGACTTGGCAAGTGACGGGTCTCGTACCTCGGCGCGGGAAAACCCGCTAAAACTTTCGGAAAAACCCGGTATAGCTGTCGGATAAACGAGAAAAAATCTGACAGCTTCGTCAATGCTATGGTCACTTTAATGTCAATATTTTGATGAAGAATTAGGATCACTTTTTTTTGCGACATAGAATTTCACTTGTAAATGGATCTCAATTTTTTTTCGCCTCTTCACCCACTTTGATAAGTGTTGATACTGACCAACATGGCTATCTTAACAATATGGTTTCGGTAAAATGTATTCATCCGCTGAATCGGATCTTTGTGGAACTAACAAATTTTCTTCTTAACAGTTCACAGAGTTAAAGAAACAATGTCAAATTCATCATCTAAGCCGTGTATACCTCTGTGCATGCTTACGTGTCCAGTCTACCTTATTACACGCTGAAATGTCCATTTTCCAATAAATAAGGGGTACGAAACATGTTTAAAAAAACATCAACACTACTTGTTTTAGCCAATCAAGACAAATAAAAATCGCTTTTCTGATTTTTCTGAAGTCGTTGTTTTAATCGCTCGTGTCATTTTATTTTTTCCCCATCACAAAAAAAAAAAAGTTTTGAAATCTCGGGTTGGTGTCAGCCAAGTCGCATCGGTAGCTTCCCTTTGTGTCCTGTATTGTGAATCATGTTCGCCCCCTGCCGGGCGAGAAATTACACGGTGGACGACACGACAATCCGACCATCTTGACGGAAATGTAAGGGACGTAATCAGGCGAAATTAGGAATTATCTTCGGCAGTAGGGAAGAGTTATCTGCAAACTGTACGTGTCTTGGTGTTTGTCGAGGGGGGAGGGGGATGAGGAGGAGGGAGGGGGGCTATAGTTGTACGACAAGAAGAAAAAAGTCTTTAAAAAAACAACCCGGGAATCGGTTGGCTTGAAATCTGAACAAGGTTTTAATCAGAGCGACGCGACGTTGAGGACAATTTTCAAGCGAGCTGAGACGTAGTGAGTAGACATGGATGAAGGTTTGGTGGGGATGCGTAAATTGTCCGGGCAGGCGTATGTCGCATCAATGGATGCCGGGCTATTGATTGCCAGGAAAGATGACGTCGTTCAGCACAGGTTTGGGGCCTTCTTGGTTTGCTAACGGTTGGATTCTTACCGGTTGGGCTACGGTTGGGAATTCGGGTTGTTAATATTTGGGCTTTCTTGTTGATCATTGTTCAAGGGTTGAGCATCTTATAAGCTTTTTTTCGTGGGTTTGATAACTATTTGGCTTCCTTGGGGAGAGTTTGTTAATGGTTGGGCTTTCTGGGGGTTGGAGTGTTACTGCTTGCTTTCTAATTGGTGGGTTTCCCAATTTCCCAAAATGTATTTTTAGCATAGGATATGTCATCGCGTTGTTGTTAGGGAGTTGTGTATGAAAAGTTATGTAAATGTGAATAAATTAGTTTGAAATGTTTGTATGCTTCGGATTTACTTATAAATTGCCCGAGTTAAAAGTTTCCAAGACGCCAAGGTAGAAACGTTAGTAGGTTAAAATCAGATATTCACAACGAGTTTAAACGAGTAGGCAAAGGGCGAGTCGTCATGTAGCTACATGTTCAAGGTAAGTGTGAGTGTTAATATAAGACGATAGGTTCTAGGGTAATAGAACGGCTTATAATCAAAATTTTTACATCAGGTTTATACTAGTTTTTTTTTTAATTTATGTTTTAAATTGTGTTGTCTAAATAAGGACAACTGGCAGAGTGAATGGGGGGGGGGGGGGGAAGCGTCATGTGGGAAGGTTGGGGGTGGGGTCTACAACTGGTTAATGGGAACACGTTCAGTATAAAACACGTCCCGTCCCAAGCTCACGATATCGTGGATTATGGGAACCGCTCTCAGTCCGCTAACTCACAATGACAGTATGGGGACGTTTACCTTCATGTGGCTCATCCCTAATGTAAACATCGGCCCCACAATGTTGTAAAAAAAAAAAAAAAGCATGTGGGGTAGTTCCCGTTATTGATTGAAAATGTGAGTGTGTTATCTCCCTTCTAAATTCGTGAGAGTGTATTATTATCTCCCATGTTGGTATTGTACTGTAAAGTGTGGATCATCGCAAGGATCGCAAGGAACAGTGGGGTGTTTGGGTGTGAGGGGCTTTGATACAACCAGCAGGGGGTGCTGAGATGGGGTTGTGTGCAGGGGTTGCACAGTGGGTGTAGAAAAAGAGAAGTGTGCGAGCTGAGTGGAGGGGGGTGGGAAAATGTGCTCACGCCTGCACGACGAGCATGCTCCAATAAAACTCGGGTCTACTCGCGTGTTTTTCGTGTGC